GCATACATTAAAATTTTGGAGAATTTTATATCTGTAGAAATATCGTTTATAAAAGCAAGAACAGAATCGGGCCTAGGTGGCTACCCTGAGGGACTCCTGAAGTAACATCAATGACGTCAGAGATAGTATTTTTAAACAATACCCTTTGTGATCTATCATAGAGGTATGAAGAGAAAATTAGGTGGAAGACCAAGAAGATCAAGTTTATAGATGAGCAACGAGTGGCACACTTTGTCAAATGCTTTACTGAAATCAGTATATATAACATCAACAGTTTTGCTCTCACTAAATGCTTTTGAGATATAGGATGTTAATTCAAGTAAATTTGTAGAAGTTGATTTGCCCTTGCAAAATCCATGTTGACTGTATGAAATGCTTGAAGTGATAGAATGCGTCAACCGATTTGTTATAATTGCTTCAAATAATTTAGGAATTGCAGAAAGCTTAGCTATGCCCCGGTAGTTCTCCACTGAAGACCTGCTACCGCTTTTATGTAAGGGGGTTATGAACGATTCCTTCCATACAGTTGGAAAAACGCCCTCTTTAAGAGACAAATTAAATAAGGCTGTTAACGGCTCATAGAGATAATCAGCACAATTTCTAAGAAAACAAGTGGGGATCTGGTCAGGACCATAACTAAAAGACTGCTTTAAGGACTTCAGGTAAACTAAAACATCATCGGGAGATATTATAGGGTTATGTATTGAGTTAATTGGACTTAGTTTAAAAGGATAGTCAAAGTATGCTTGGGAGTTAGTGGAATAATTGGATTTAAAAAAACTGAGCGAACATGTTAGAAATTGTTTGATTATCACCAGAGACGGTATTTTGATACTTCATGGCGGAAGGAAACCCACGTACATTTCGCTTGGAGTTTACGAAATCATAAAATGATTTGGGGTTATATATTATACGTCGTTTGATTTTACACAAGTAATCTTTATAACACTTTTTGTTTAATTCAAAGAACTTGTGACGCAAAAGTGAGTATTTTACATAGTATGAGTGTAAGCCGGTTTTTTTGTGTAATCTAAAATAACGTGACTTTCTGTTTTTCAAGTTTCTCAGTTCTTTAGTGAACCATAGCTGTGTTTGTTCTACAGGAACACACATGCGTTTAGGCACATACTTTTCAAATAATCTATGTACAGTAAAATTAAAATGTGCAACGCTTTGCTCAACTTTTTCTTTGTATATAGGCCACGACAATTTAGACAATTCATTATTCAGTCAGCAACATAATCTTAATATTTCGGTACGACTTTTAGGCCATTTTAGCACGCTTTCAGTACGCTTTTCTACTTTCACATCACCATTGTATTACCGCCATTCGACAAAATTTATTTAAAATTTTTACAAATGTTCTAATAAACGAATACTATGCAACAACAGCTCAATGCATTTTTGACATTTCGAATAGGATTTATTTTCTATTATAACTTCAAAACTTTGATAGGATTGCAAAACATCTTTAAAATTTGGAATCGGAAATCCAAAACGATGAGAAATCAATTTCGAACGAAACCAGAACAGCCCTGAAATGAAACTACCAATTTATCAAAACGGCAACACTGATAGCAGCTCTACTTGTGGTATTGTGGCGAATACTGCGGCAACACAAAGCGAACAACGAGAAATAGGCA